ATAATTACTAAAAGATTAATTTAGGTAGATAAAGAGAAACTAAAACTAGAGGATGAGGAAAGTATTCAATGATGAAACTTTCAAAACCCCCATGTGAGGTGACCTGATTTAGGACTCTGCTGCTTCCCACTGCAGGACAAGCCATTGTCCTTTTCTTTTCCTTAGGGAAACATGACAGCCTTGTTCTTCATCCTTGATGGCCACAGATGTAAGGGTGAAGAAGCACTTTCAAAAGACTTCTCTCTGGTCATCTCTGATTCATGAACTCCATCAAAATGCTATTTCTCACCTCCAGTCTCTACAGCTGCTAACTTATGTGATCATTTTTCAGGGAGAAAACTAACTGTGGAAAAGCTACAGGACCTGTTCAAGGTCATTTCTGCATTAGGAGAGTCAGCATGCCATCCCTGTTCCTGTGTCTGACAGCCACCTCCTTGCCATCTGATGGCAGAGAATCATTCTGCTATAGTACATTTCTTGGAAAAAAAACCTTCTATCAAATGATAGCAAGATTGTTAGCCTTGGGCCCTTGATTGATGTTCCACATGCAAGAGTGTGAGCCTTGAATATGGCCAGTGGTGTTTTCCCAGAAATTTAGGCACTCCTATCACATGAAAACTACCAAAGAGACAAGGGATTAGCAAGCAATTCAGCATTGTCTGCATTAGCATGTAACTGCCCACATGCTTTAAATTTTATTCCACCTCCTTTAAGTTTTAAAAACTATAATTTTTGACACATACTAGTTGTACAGACTAAGGAGATTCATTATATTTTCATATTTCATATATTATGCATCAATCAAGTTCATCCACCCCTCTCCTACCTTCTCCCTCTCCCCTAACCCTCCTCCCAGGTTGTGCAGTCCCTCTTCTACTTTTTTTAAGTTTCCACATATGAGAGAAAACATGCAATGTTTTTCTGTATCTGAATTATTTTGTTTAACACGTATGCTCCATTTCCATGCATTTTCCTGCATATAACCAGATTTTATTCTTCTTTATGGTTGAGTAGGATGTGTGTGTACATGTGTGCACATGTGCATGCCATGTTTGCTTTGCCCGTTGACCAGCTGACAGATATGTAGCCTGATTTCTTGCCTTGGTTATTGTGAATAGTGCCTCTTTTGCTCCTTTCTTGCTCATTAGCCATTGTTGTATAACAAAGCATTCCCAAACTCAGTGCCTTATTGCAAAATTTTATAATTGTTACTCAATTTTTTGGTTTGACTATGCTCAGTTGGATAGTTCTTGATTACAGTAGACTGTCATGGAACTTCAGTCAGCTTGCAGCTAAAACTGCAGTTCCCTGGTGAGTCATTTGGGCTGGACATCCACTACAATAGATTCCCACAGCCTAAACTCCAGGAATAAAAAATGGAGGGCTGGAATGTGTCTTGAGGTAAAGGACTTACCCAGCATGAAGGCGGTTCTGAGTTACATGCCTAGCATAAGATTGTATAATGGCTTAAAATTGATTTCTAAGACCAAAGGGTAAGTGAAAACTGGATAGAGGAGCATTATTTGCTATAATAAAGCAAAAGAAATGACAAGCTTAGTGCCAGCAGAGAGGAAAACTGATGAGACCTCATTTCACTGCAGAGCCTTGGAAGTAGTGAAATTCTGTGTGATACAAATCTAAAATTTTGAGCTATTGCTTACTTTCTTTCTGTCAACAAAACTACACTATTCTTGTGTCAGGCATTGAGTTGGGTACTGAGAAACAGTAATTAAAAGTTGTCTTAATTACTTTGGTTGTTGAGACAAAACATCTGATGCCCAACATGAAAGAAGGAAAGGTTTATTTCTTACAGGTTGTAGGCATCAGTCCATACTCAGTTGGCTCCAAGGTTAAATGACATGGCTGAGGGGCAGTAGTTTATGGTGGCTACAAACATCAGGCATGAACAGCAAAAGAGAAACACAAGCCTTCTTTCCTCAGGTACACTGCATGCTCGCTCCACCCTTGGCTGGTGTAGTACTCATACCACCAATCTGAGTGCTAGAAAACAACCAATCAGAAAACATAGATATGGTCACACCCATGATGGCATGAGGCTTGAGGGGTACTGAGGTTAACCAGGACAAAGAGCCTGCTGTCATACTCTCATCAAGAAGCCTACAGTCTATTGAGGTGGAGGGATATTTATCCAATCACTACCCAAATGTCAGCTGAGCATTCCTAATCTGAATCCTGAAGTCTGAAATGCTTCAAAGTCTAGAACTTCTGAGTACTGATACAGTGCCAAAAGTGAAAAATTTCACAAGAAATTTTGTCTCAAACACAAAATATTTTTTCATTAAGATTATTGGTATATTTTAGGTGCAAATAATGATCATGTAAACCATGGGAAATTTGTACCGTACATTAAAAGCTTGAATGTGTTATTCTCCATTCCCCTAACCTTGCTTCAACACCCTTCCCTTCCTTGTTTATGAAATCTTTGTTGGCTTCTTTTCTCATCAATTGTTTCTTTTCTCTTCCTTCTTTTCTCCCTCCTACATGCCTAATTCCTTATTTCATTAGAAAATGTTCACAATATATATATTATTTTAGTGCTTATCTACATTTTCAGCTTCCCACACCAGAGAAACAACACAATACACATGTCAAACCCAAAATTATTAAAAGTATTGTATAAAATTATCTTCAGGTTATGACTATGAAGTGTATGTGAACCATAAATAAATTTCATATTTAAACTTGTGTCCCATCCTCAAGATAACTTATTATGTATATGCAAATTTTCCAACAAATAAAAAATATAGAAATTCCAAACACTTCTGGTCACAATCATGTTGTATAGGGGACACTGAATTTGTAGATGTTTAACTAAAAACCTCAAGGAAGAAGTACAAGGGGTGATCAAAATATACAGCTAATACTTAAACTTTTTAGATGCACTACAATAGTGACATGTGACAATTAATCCTTCTTAAAAAGCACCTATTTAGACAAATAAATAAAATACACATCCTAACTTCAAAAACATTCTCCATTTGTTCTTGCAATTTCTGAAGCAATTTGGAAGTTCTCTTTGAGAGTGTCTTTAGATATTGGAATAAACATTATAGGTAGTGGTGCTGCTGAGTGCCATCCAATGGAAAGAAAGTCTCATAAATACATTACGGTGTGTCCTCATCCACCTCATTCACCAGATCTGGACCCCTGTGGCTTTTCTGAAAATCAAAATGACGATGAAAGATGAGTATTTTGAATTGATTCAATATATTGAGGCAGCCACAACAGCACAACTAAAGATACTCATAAGAGGACTTCCAGAACTGTTTCAAATAAAATGGCAAAATGATGGAATAAGTGCATTCAAATGAAGGAGGAACTTGGTATAGGTGTGCATACCTGTAAACTCATCACTTGGGAGGCTGAAGCAATAAAATCTTTGAGTTTGAGACTAGCTTGGGCAACACAGTGAGTTCAAGGCCAGCATGAACTCCATAGCAAAACCCTGTCTCACAAAACCAAAAACCAACAAACAAAGAACACCTAGCTGATCGTTTCAGCACAATTTTGTGTTTGTGTGTAGATTACTGACTCACTGAAGATGGAAGACCTTCCCTGTGTGTGGTGGGCAACCAATAGGCCTGCATCCTGGAGGCAGTAAAAAGGGAAAGGAGAAAGTATGGCTTCTGCCTCTTCAGAAGAGTTTGAATCCTTGTCATCACCTTAGCTGTCCATTTCCAGGCACCTAGCACAGATTCTTCTGCTCCCTGCCAGAGACTCTTCAGGGACTCTTCAGTGAGCTCCAGGCCTCAGACTTGTGATTGGAGTTTTTGCATCTCCAAGGAGCACCTGACCCTTTTGAGCTCTTCTCCACCTGACTCTGCAGGTGGCCATCCTAAGCCTAAATTTGCAAATCCTTTATATCACACACACACACACACACACACACACACACACACACACACACACACAAAGAGAGAAATTGAATCTGATCCTATAGTGAACCCTGACAAAAACTGCCTCTACCTAGCTGTGCAACCTCCCATGAACAGTTTTATGCCTCACTCATGTGAAAAATCCAAAGCGGAACTGCAGCGGTGCTGTGCTAAGTATGGGTTAGTTAATAGAGGTGTTGGTGTAAGGCCCGCTGGTTAAAATTCTGTCCACTGCTTTGTCCTTTGAAAAAGCATTTATTTTTGGTGTTTAGTCTCACGCAGCAATGAAAATGAAGATAATTGCTAACTCACACTCTTGTAAGAATTAACATATGTAAAGCGCCTCAAAGAGGCCCTGGCCTGACACTGATAACTGCGAAAGAACCTTGTTAATACATTATATTAACATGTAAACATACTTTTAAGATATGAAAACATCAGACAATGAATTCTGGAAGCACTCGTTTCTCTGTAATAAAAGAAGGGCAACAATGCAAATAACAACAATGTATCTGAGCACTTGCTATGTGCTAGGAGCCATGGGAAGAGCTCTGCAGGGTTTCCATCGGATCTTCACAGCAGTGCCAAGAGAGGAGTATTGCCATTGATCATGGTTTGTTTTTTGAATGGAAAAAAATCCACAATATTTCAAAACAAAGTAATAGGAGAATGACAGTAGTGGAAATTGAGGCTCCAAGAAGAGAAGCAGTGGGCCCAAGGTTTCAGAGCTACAAGACACCAATAAATTCCAAGTCTGGGACTCAGTCCACTCCTCTGCTTCCTGTCATACTGGGTCTGGGGCTCAGAGTCTCCCAGAAGCCTCATCAGAAACCTCCACCAGCAGCCACACCCTGCTTCAGCGGGACCCTAAACCCCACTGCCACGCCCACTGCCTCATTCTTGCCCCACTGGCAGGCTTAGCGCCTGCTTTGTCCCAACTTCTAGCCCTGCCCCTTACCCTTCCCTCACACCCTTCGCCCCACCCCCTTCCAGGACCAAAGGTTCTGCTGCCCCGCCCCACACCCGGCGGGCCACGCCCACGGACGGCCTGAGCTTGAGCCTCTGCATCCCGACTCAGACCTGCCCGCGCCCCGCCTTGCCCTCGCAGTGCATGCCGGTCTTGTGCTTTGAGTCGCCATTTTGCCGCTAGGGATGCTGTCTGAAGACCAGTGCTCTCTTCCTTCAGCGGCCTAGGCTGCGTCAGGGCCTGAGCTCAGGTATGGGCCAGGTAGGCTGGCGGGAGCAGGCAGTGAGCGGGGGGGCGTGGCCCGGTGGCCCCCACGTTAGTGGGCGCAGGTTTCCAGGCAGGGAGCCTTATGGTGGTGTGACGGGCCGGGGCGGTGGCATGCAACGGCGCTGGGGGCGACCCGGGCCCTGCCCGCAGGGCACCTCTCTCCCTTCCTCCCTCCTCTCCGTCGGGGGTCAGCACAGCCAGGCTACAGGCAGCCCAGCCCTGGTGTGGGGCCTGCAGGAGGTGGCTTGGGGTCTCACATGGCCTCAGCTGTCAGTGAGCCTGGCCATGCTGAGCCGCGGATATTTACCCCCCAAACCGACAATTTCATTCCACTAGGAGCTCCTCCCTGCAGGAACCGAGAGAGGACTGAGATGTTACAGTAAGATAGCAGTTATTATTCTACCTGCACATGCCGTGGCTCCACTCCGTTTCATTGATAAGGGGCTTTCTGCTTCTTTTAATATTGGCGCTACTTGGGTCTTTAGGTTTTGTGAGGGGTGTTTAGTTTTGTGAGGAGTCTGAAGGCGGCATGGGGCTTTGAGGCATGAGGAAGTGTGATTCCACAATTTAAGTCCACAAAAATACTGCACACACATTGTTGAACCCTGCTGCAGAATATCCTTCTTGTCCCTATTCTGCTGTCTCTGACCATTACTCCCCAGTTCTGCTCACATCATTTATATATTTGTATAGTGTTGAATATTTATATTATATGCATAGGTAGAGTTGTAGAATTCTGTAGTTATCCTTAGTTATCCTGTTACTGACCATGTACATAAGTCTAGTTCCTCTTAGAAAATTTTCATTGAACATATATCATTTTTTCTTGGGATAAATTCCGGAATTTGGAAATACTAAGTCAAAGTTCTCTGCTCTTTCCCTGCCACTTTATATGAATTGGTGCCTAAACAAGACACGTTTACATCTTTCAAAATATAGGTATTTGCCCAAATCTCTTGGCAAATTTGGTGTTCAACAAGAGGTTGAGTCATTTTCTGTGCAGTCTGAGAGACAGGCCACACAGCCACAGTTGGACTTTATTTTTAAGTCATGTACCATGTTCATTTTTTTTTGTTTTGATTGACTCTATCCTGTTTTGTTTCATTTCGTTTTATTACCATAAAAATAAAAAATGAAGTAAAAAATATTTTCTTGCTGGGCATGATGGTGCATACCTGTAATCCCAGCACTCTGGAGGGTTAGACAGGAGGATCACAGTGAATGCCAGGCTAGCCTGAAATACTTGCTAAGTTCAAGATCAGGCTGCAGTACATAACAGGACCTTGTCTCAGAACAAAAAAACAACCCCTTTTTCCTCTTTTCTTATTTTAATGTACCATAAGTAGATACTAATAAAGAAAATATGAAAACACTTTTATAAAGTTTTCATACTATGCAGTTTGTATACTATGAAACTATATAGTATGATTTATACACTATATCATACTTTATATAAATTTATATACTGCAAAACTGCATAGTATGAAACTATGAAATTTTTCAGCCGGGTGTGGTGGCTCACACCTGTAATCCCACCACTCAGGAGGCTGAGGTGGGAGAATCCTTGCAAGTTTGAAAGCAGCCTGGGCTAAAAAGTGAGCTCAAGGCCAGCCTAAACTGCATAGGAAGTCCACGTCTCAAAAAAGACCAAAAAAAAAAAAAAAAGAAACTGCAGTTTCATACTATGCAGTTTATGTACTATGTTCAGTGATGCTGGGGATTTCTGCATGAGGTGTATGCCCCTGCACCTTTAAATTTTGTTCTTATTTGTTTGCTTTTTGAGACAGTGTCTAAATAATTTACTCAATTCCCCAGGTTTGGTTTAACCTTGTTGTCCTTCTTCCTTACCTCCTAGAGTTCTGGGAGTACAGGTACAGGCTCTCTTTACTTACAAAATCACAATAATTATGTATGTTTATGGGGTAAAATGTGCTTTTGATCTATGGCTCCTTTGTGGAAAGAATCAATCTAGTTAATGTACCTACCATCCTAGAAACCTACAAATTCTTTCACAGTGACTGGGACTGCAAATCCCATTGTTTAGGAGTTTTGAAATCTATCCTTCTTAGTTAACTGTAGTCACCATACAGTTTAGTAGAGAACTGAAAATTTCTTGTCCACCATGACTGAGATGTTTTATTTTTGGGTGTTCCACATCCCTCATGGAAATGATCATTTTTTAAAATCAGAGTGCTCAAGAATTGTATGGAGGCTAAAGGTACTTGGGGCCCGCTGCTCTTCAGAAAGATCAGGCAGCAGTACTCTGCAGCCCTTCAGGTTGCTCCCAATTTTTGTTTGTTTGTTTGTTTGTTTTTCCTTAACTGAATTCTAGGAATTGGATGCAGGGCTCTCTTAGTTACTTTTTACTTTTTGCTGAGACAAAAATCTGGATGCCAAAATTTGGGAAACGAAAGGTTTATTTCTTAAGGTTTGTGGAGGTTTCACTCCATACTCAGTTGGCTCCAAGGCAGGGTGGCATGGCAGGGCCGCAGTTCATGATGGCTGCAAACAGCAAGGAAGAAACAGGCAAAAGCACAGTCACAACTTCTTCCTGCCATTACATCACATCCTGGCTCTACCCCTAGGCCAGTGTAGTACTCACATCCCCACTGCAAGCCCTAAACAATAAAGGCATGATGCCTGGGGGCCACAAATATAAACTATGACAAGGGACTTGCACTGAACTACACTAACATCTGTTTTTAAAATTCTTTTTTATTTTTAGCCATGGTCACCATAAGTAACTACACTGCTGAGACACCATTCTTACACACAGATTCTTACAGGTCTATGTGTGGATGCACATTGATGTCAGAAACATTTCCCTTTCAAAACTGAGATACTTGTTCTCACATCCATGTATTATTTCCTGATCAGATTCCTTGGCTTCTTTCCCTGTGGACCCAGGGAGACCAATCTCAGCATCCCTGCAGCTTTCCCTGCTTCCTATGACCCACACTGGTACCACACACCATTTACATGGAAGAGAGGAATGGTCCCAGTTCCTTCCTGCTTCAAATAGCTGTGAATCAAACTCATCTCAAGGATATCTTGCAAAGTTGTGCAGCTCTCTGTAAGGGATAAAAGTCTGTTGTTACCCTGCCAGGTCCAGGGACAAATGTGTGTATCACTCTGATATTAGCTGCCAGACAGGTCTCTGGTCTGCCACCCTTATTCTCCCCAGTGCTATTCGGCATCTGCCTTAAAACCTGCCATCAGGTGGAGACTCAGCACATCTCAGGGATGTGTGCCTGCATGAATCAGCTTTGGAGGCTCAGCGTTTTCTGCATTTGTTGGCCAAATATGGTGATTCTGTTTTTTTTTTATTTAAAGATAAAAACAAAACAAAATGAAACAGTAAGAGGTTACAAGTAATACAGAATTTCAAGAAAAAATACAATAAGAAATCACTAGTTAACAGATTACATATTGTCATCTGATTAACAAAGTGGACATTAATACGGTGAAGTTGTCGACAGTTCTGTTCAATGATCCAACAAAACTCGGTAATATGGTTTTCTGTTCTATACACTTAAGTATGCATACAGTTATATCCTTTTGATCATTTTGTTTTCCTCTCTTTTTTATGATAACAATTACACATTTGGGGTTTTATTATTCCCAAGTTCTTATAACTTTTTCTTTGAAGAGGAAAAAAAACAAAAATAAAAACATAACAAATGAAACAAAACAAAACAAAAAATCCCTACATGACAAAGCAAAACAGAGTCAGTTAGAGCAGGAGGATGGACATAATATATAATGCAAAAGAGAATACCAGGTGATCAACAATGGTTACCATTATGCCTCTTGCTATCTTAAAAACAGTTGCCTGTATCATCTGGTGTAATATATTTGAACAAAACAGTACAGAACAGGGCCAGTAAAACCCACATTGCAGACTTTACAGGACTTCCAAAAAAGATAATAGTCAAATCATAATGAGCATCATAGAATATCTTGTTGCCTTCAAAGTGTTACCTATACCCTCAAACTTGATGCTATTAAACAAAACAGAATGTAGTAAAATCAGTCAGGACAAGATGTGGAGAACAATATGGGTCATCAAATCAGTTAATAAGAAAACAAAAAAGTTACTATTATATATCCCACTCTTTTTAATTTAGTTTTACCTAAAAATAATAAGAAATTAATTTTTAAAAAAAGAAAAGGGAGATTGAGATAAAAGGACATATCAATAGAACAACACAGGTCAGAACTGAACAATTTAAGCATCATTGTGTTTCACCACCAGATAGCCTGACATAATAGTTGTTACCATAGTGTCTCTTGTCTTGAAATATTTGAATATAACTTTGTGTACTATAACATCAAACTTATCAAGACAGTGTGAAATCTTTCAAGAGAATGAAAGTACTGCAGGGTATTTAGAATGAGCTAACAGAAACCGAATGTTTTCTACACTATCTCTTTGCCTATAAAAATTTTTGTTTATACTATTGCACATATTAAAATATGGTATGATACGACATGTTAAAACCAATGGAAACAGATGAACAACAACTTGATGGGACTTCAAAACAGGATGATATTAAATCAGCACTAGCTATTACGTTGTCTAATTTTCTTCAAATAGCTATTCGTTCTATCACAGACAATAAAATCAAACAACTCAGATTAAAACCATTCCAATTAATGAATGAAAACATTATATGGCTTCAAATCAATATGTTGGGAATCATGATTACCATGTACTTTTATGTATTCTTATCATTTCTTACACTAGGGAAACTATTCGGTATTTATACATGTGAGTTGGATTTATTTCACTTATGAGTATGTTCTCAAGCTGCATCCATTTATTTATATCTCAATGTGAGCATCCTTTATAGCTGAGTAGTACTTCACTGCATAAAAATACCACAACTGTTTTATCCATTCCTCAGTTGATGGGCACTTAGGTAGTTTCCAAGATCTGGCTATTACAAATTGTGCTGCTATAAACATGGGTGCAAATATGTC